ACGTGCCCTTAGCGGGAACCGAACCTGAGACTCTCTGGTCCGGGGGCTGACACTCCAACCGCTGAGCTAACTTGGCCAGGGCTGACTTTTTTATCTGGGGTAAACATTTTGACATTTAGGCACCACATAGTTGCTGAGACAGGAAGAGCAATTCTAACTGCATTTTTATGTGTGGTTGATACTATGAGTCATTGAGGTTGATGTTTCCATAATATTATTAGCAGTCTTATCTGCAGCTCAATACTGAACAGTATGATATACTAATGAGTCTTATGTTAGAAAGAGAATAGAACTCAAAGGATAGTATTTGTTATACAGTCCTTATGTCTTTTTAAAATTATCTTTCAATTATAGTTGACATATATTAGTTTCAGGTGTACAGCATAGTGATTAGACATTTATATAACTTACAGAGTATTCCCTTGATAAGTCCAGTACCAAACTGGCACCATATCTAGTTATTACAATATAATTGACTATATATATTCCCTATGCTGTACTAGTCCTTATATCTTAATTCAGATCCTGGTCATGATTAAATGTAGGGTGTAGGCTCATGCATCTGTGTGAAGGATTGGCCAAAATGAAATTCCAAAGAACATGAGCTCTTATTTCAGACTGAAAATCAAATTTAAACAGGTTGTAAGAGTAAGCATCATACACTGAAATATTTATATACATGAGCTATCTCGCATAACCGGTTTCATATCTAACTTGGCATGATTGTGATGTGATAATATGGTTTCTGTTGTGCTGCTAATTCATAACATTTTGAGGTAACCATGGATGGTTAGGTCAGATAGAGAGGAGAAGGTTAATTAGGTCAAAGGCCAGGATTATGGGTTTAATTTTTGTAGTAGACAATCACTTTATTTTATCCTCACCCGAGGACATTTTTCCCTTTTTTTTTGTTCAGATAGAGTGGGAGAGAGGGAGAGAAACATCGACGTGAAAGGGACACATCGAGTGGCTGCCTCCCGCATGGGGCTGGGACAAACTGCAACTGAGATATGTGGCCTTAGTGGACCGTGGGCCGACGCTCTGACCGCTGAGCCAAACCGGCCAGGGCAACAATCACTTTATTATGATTTCATAACCACAGACTTCACCAGCAGTTTCACCAGACGCATGACACTAGTTACAATTCAAATGTTGATTGATGTCAACTTCCCTTGTATATAAAGACCTAGATGAAAGAGGTTGATGCAATCGTGGCAAGAGACCACCAGCAGTTAAGGAAATACAACTTATATTCCGTTACCAAAAACTGATGGTAAATCTATAATAATGTTATTTATAAAGGACATAATTATTTAAGAGAAAGGGTGGGGGTATTCCTAACATTGGAATTTGGGCATATGATGATTGTCAAGACTGATAATTGAAAATATGAATATGCTTTAAGCACAACTAAAGATATTCTTAGCATTGAGGTTCTTTTCTACTGTATGTTGAATTTTTAGTATAACAATTTTTGGACAGATCTCATGAACAAATAAGAAAATTAAATTTAATTTTAAATTAAATTAAAAAATTAAAATTAAATTAAGATATTTAATTAAGTTTACCCAGGGAATATTGTAGAGTAGGCTTAGAACTCAGATTTCATGATTGTGGTCCATATTAGTTCTTTGTGTCTCTATATTGTATTCAGAATGTTAAGTTTTGTAAAATACAAAGATGAACAAGACTTATTTTTTGCCATAGAGAATGTAAACTAATTCATTTAGTAAACAGAGGAACTCAGCAAACTACAGGTAAGCAATTCTTTGCTAGGTATTAGGGTTATGATAATGATTAAGCCTTTTTTCATTCATGCATTTATTCATTTTAGTATTTGTTGAGTGTCCACCATGCGTCAGGCTCTGTTCTAGTTTTAACCGATACAACGGTGAACAAAATAGACCAGGTTCCTACTCCTGTGGAGTAACATTCTAGTGATGATTGTTGTGATGAAAAATAAAGCAGGGTGAGAAGGATAGAGAGTACCGGAATAGGGCATGGGTGTTGCTACTTTCTGTGAATATCGTGGCAGTCTTCTGATGAAGTGACTTGAACAGAGTCCTAAAGGTAGTTTTCTAGGCAGAATAAGAGCTAAGTGAGGGACTTGCAGGTTTTTAGACAAGACTGCTGGTTAGGCTGTAAGTGTTGAGGTTTGGGGGAAAGGTGAGTGCGGGATCTTTCTCCTTTCTTAGAAAGGTGAAGGATCGGGGCAATGTCCTTAGAAACATGTGAAGCTATGGGGCTTTTCTCTGCAGTTCTGCCTGATGGAAGGATGCAGTGACAATCAGATGGGATATGCCTTTGTTTTACCTGGCTGGGATATAGTATCCTTTTGTTATGCCTGATGTGGGAAGTGAGGAAAGCCCTTACCAAGACTGTGATATTTTATCTGGGGTGAGAAGAATGAAAGCACCAGGATTGTGATTGGGATGGCCTTAAGGGGCTAGAGCTCAGGAGAGGTTAGGTGGGAAACGAATTTGGGGAGTTGTCAGTGTAGAGCCCATTTAAAAATCAAGTCAATGGAATGACCTAGGGAAAGCATGTTGAGTGAGGACAGAAGAGATTCTAGAATGCAGTCTTGGGGAATAACTATCTTAAGGGGGCAGAAAGGGAAGGGGGCCAAGCAGAGAGAGGCAAGAAGAGAAAGAGAGAAAATAGCTGGGAAACTAAGGAAGGGAAGAGAGTGTTGAGAAAAGGAGTGGTCAGCAGTAGCAAATGCTAGATAGAGAGTGATCAGTTACCTGAGCTGGGGAAAGGGAAGGTTGTACTAGACCTGAGATATCCAATACGGTAGCCATTTATGACTGATTTATATTCAAAATAATTAAATTAAATATTGAATCCCTAAGTCTCACTGGCTACATTTCAGCAATTTAATAGCCAAGCCACATGTAGCTAAATGCTACCTGATTGATTAGCATAGATATAGAATAGTTCCATCACTGCAGAAAGTTCTATTTGACAGCACTGTACTAGGCCATTATAATATTAGGGAAAAGTTGAGTCACAGTTTAATTTTTTATTTTTTTAATGATAGCAATAGAGAAAATACTATAAGATAACTATGACTTGTCAAAAAACTGATATTAGGAGGCCAGATCTGGGGAAAGATAATTTCAACAGAACTGGCAATTTGAGTTGAGTCTTCCAGATCAGGGAACTTCCAAGCGATTGAGCAGGGAAGCAAACAGAAAGTAGGAACAAAATTGCAGAACACTCTGAGCAATCAATTTTACTAGACAGAATTTAGCTAAGTGAAGTTTTGCAAGGCTATTTCATAGGAGATCAGAACATTTCTGTGGAATGAACAAGTGGGCCAAATTGTAGAAGATTTAAATATCAGGGTTTGGAGCCTATTTTCTAAAGAATGGGTGCTATCAAGTGTTTTTAAGTGGAAGAGCAACATGGCCAGAGTGATAGTTGGTAACTTAATCATTCCTTTTTCAGTCCTTTCTTAGTCTTTGTCATTTGTTGTACTACTAGGTAACTTTGCCTTATATCTACATACTGCTTTTTAAAAAATCTATAAAGTAAATTCAGGAAAGTTGTAAGTTTTAATAACTATGCATTCACAGAGGAGAAAATACACTTCCGAGAGGTTAAATTACTGGCTAATGACGGGGCTAGCTTCAAGGATGAGTAATTTGGGTAGACTGAAGATAACTTATCTCAATGTCAAATAAATTACTATATAATGCATAGACTGTCTTCAATATATGGTGGTTTTCTTGACAGTAGGAACCATGTCTTTATCATGTTTTGAATTCTAGTACCTAATAGTAAGTGAACGAGTGAGGTGAGATTGAATGCAGGGGTATCTATTGAAAGGGAGATAGATGAAAAATTTGATAAATGGCCCGGCTCATTTGGCTCAGTGGTTGAGCATTGACCCATGCACCAAGAGGTCCCCGGTTCGATTCCCGGTCAGGGCACATGCCCAGGTTATGGGCCCGATCTCCAGTGGGGACATGAAGGAGGTGGCCAATCGATGTTCTCTCTCTTCAATGTTTCTCTCTTTCTCTCTCCCTAAAACCAATAAAGAAAAAAAAAATTAAAGAAAAATTGATAAATGAAGTAACATGGTCTGGCCAACCTGGTATTAATGGGAACTGAAAGAAAAGACTTGATGTGAGAAAGACATTGTCTTGGTAAAAATCATCAGAACTTAGTTACTTGATCAAATGTTGGGGAAAGGAGTTTCAGATGACTCAAGGATTTAGGTCTGAGAGATTGAGAGAAAGATGATACCATTGAAAAATAAGGCAAATTGGTCTGGAATCTTGTTTCTGAGGGACAACACTGAGTGCTGTTTTCAAAAGAAAGATTTTTTTTTTTTTTTTAATCCTCACCCGAGGACATTTTTCCATTTTTTTTTTGTTCAGGTAGAGTGGGAGGGAGAGAGAGGAACAGAGAGAGAGAGAGAAACATCGATGTGAAAGGGACACATCGAGTGGCTGCCACCCGCACGACTGACCAGAGCCGGGGACAAACTGCAACCGAGGTACGCGCCCTTAGCGGGAACTGAACCCGGGTCTCTCAGGACCACAGGCCGACACTTTAACCGCTGAGCCAATCCGGCCAGGGCAAAATAAAGATGTTTTATAAAACAGACAAACAAAAAAGGACCTGCCTTTGATAATAGAATTTTATAACAAGAAGTTAATTTGCAATGATGTCTGAACATACAGGTAGCCATGCTTTGGAATGAAGTTTAGGAATGAAACCAGGTCTGAAGAAAAACTAGGTCTATGAAAACACAAAGGACATTCCAGAGAGAACTTCACAGGTTGGAAGATTGGCTGTAATTTCCTAAAGCCTCAGGATTATTTTTTAAAAGGATTTCGTTTTCAGTGTAAACTTACTATTGCATTTTCTTTTTTTTCTACTTCTTAAAAAATTTATGCACCTCTTATATCATTTGCTCACCTGTGGGTGCTCTCTAGATTCAGATTCTGGTATGAGATTAAATCACCCCTGTGAAAATTTTTCTTTTTTAGATCTTGCCATATTCAGAAGTTGCTGAAGTTCAAGAGACAGTGAGTAATATATATGGCACTATGTTTGAAATGTTAACATTTTAATATTTTTTTAGGATTTCAAGTTAGATTTTTAAAATATATTTTTCATTTTATTTAATCATAGATGATTTTGGCATTATAAGAAGCAGCTATTGTAGATTGAAAAGATCAGTTTAAATAGTGTTTTTTTCTGCTAAAATGTAAATAGATTTAATCTTTTTTTTTTATCGTCACCCAAGGACATTTTTCCTTTTTTTTTAAATTTTGTTCAGATAAAGTGGGAGGGAGAGAGAGAGAGAAGCATCGACATGAAAGGGACACATCGAGTGGCTGCCACCCGCACAACCCAACCAGGGCCGGGGACAAGCTGCAAACCGAGGAACACGCCCTTAGGGGGAACTGAACCCGGGTCTCTCTGAACCGCAGGTCAACCCTCTAATTGCTGAGCCAAACTGGCCAGGGCTAATCTTTTTTTACTATAAAAATAATACATACTAATGTGGCATATTTATGCAACATAAAAATATAAATAAAATTTTACCTTCTAAAGCTAACCACTGTTAATATTTGGGTGACATCTTTCTTGTGTATTTATATGTGTATATCTTACATGTGAAATTTTATAAAAGTGGAGTCATATCATACAAAAAATTTTATAAACTACTTTAAAAAGTCAATATATAACAGATGGTTTTCAGTCATTGAAAAATAAACCTTGTGACTACATAGTATTTTATTGTACGACTGTATTTTTATTTAATACCTTTTAAAAAATAGATTATAGTTTTAGATTACTGTAGATGATATTGTGATACATATATATGTACACATCTTTTTGACCATTTTGGATGATCACCTCACTATACATTCCTAGAAGTGGAATCAGAAGGGGGATCAAATGTGTGATTAGGTTATTTTTAAATAAATATCTGGCCAGCCAGATCATATTCTCTATTTAGCAGTAATAAGCTCTGGTTCCCAGAAAAATATTCCCTTGAAATCTATCTTGTAAAACTCAGGAGTAAAATGTGTATGTGTAGGTTTTGTAGGCAATTGCAGGAATATGAAAAATTCAGTTAAATGTTGAAAGAACAAACAATTCTCAGCTGCATTATATATTCCTCACTGAAGTTGATTATTGTAAGGGCCAAAAATAACACAGAGTAGAGCACTCTTGAGGTGTTTTATATAATCCTGCTTCTGAAGCGTGGCTTCTACTTGAATCTTTATTTTCAAGGTACACTCATATCAGTGCTTGATAAGCTCTTTGTACTTTCACTCAAGCTCAAAAGATGACTTACGTCAAATTAGTATGTATGTTAAGGAAATACTGTGTAAAGGCAATGGAAGCATGTTGCTGTGCAGCTCTCATGGGATTATATCTGTATAATAGGGCAGCTCAGGACTGAGAGATTTCCCAGGGCAGAGGGTGTGATCGATTATGAGCTTCTACCTATTCCTTTACATTTCTTTTGTATATTAAAAAAAGAAAAAAAAAGTTTTATTTCTTTTTAGACAGAGAAGAAGGGAGAGAGAGATAGAAACATAGATGTGAGAGAGAAACATCGATTGGCTACCTCCTGCACACCCCCTACTGGGGATTGAGCCCGAAACCCAGGCATGTGCCCTGACCAGAAATCAAACCAGGACCTCTCAGTCCATGGGATAATGCTCAATCCATTGAGGCACACTGGCCAGGCTCCTTTGCATTTCTTAAAGATTGCAAGTTTTATGCTAATTATACATGGCATAAAATACCATTAAAATAAAACCACATTTTTTGGCATAATGTTTTTTCCTGAGATTTGTAGACTAAAAATCAGAAATGACTTAGAAAATGGCTGTAATTCATGCTTTTAATTTAAGTACATTTGTAATACACAGGCATGTCACTGTAATTTTGCTATTTTCAGCCCATACCTTTTTCCAAAATAGAGAATTTATTTATATGTTAAAGAAATTATTGAAGTGACTGTGGACATTGTCTAAGGGATGAACATGATAAATTACTCAAATAGAGAAAAGGTGTCTGTCATATCTTAATGGTCTTTTCCTGAACAAGCTGAGGAAAAGTTCCTGGATTCTTTGAGATTCTAGTAGTAGTTTGGTTTGCTAACAAAAGCCAAGAAGAGTGGCTAACTTTTTGTTTTTGTTTTTTCAAAAATATTTTACAAGATGCTTGTGTAGAGTGTTTCCACATTAATAATTTCATATTCTCTTGATTCATGTGTTATACAATATGGACCTGCACAAATTAGACCCAGTCCTACAGGTGGTAAGAATAAGAAGTTAGCGGTGTGCAGCTTAGCCATGTGCAGAGGACTTCAGTGGTGTTCCTTGGTAAAATTAATTTGTAATCTTCAATTACTTATATCCTATTTCCTATTAACATCACTTGAAAGCAACTCTGGGAGGATTTCACTTGCATCCCAATTTAATGCCTTTGTATCCACATCTTTCTGGGAAAGGTTTGTGAAGCCATGCTCATTTTTTCACTGTGCTTCTGCTTCTATTTGGAGTATTTCAGCTTGTCTCTTAGTTCTGTTGTTCTGTTTTTCTTTTCTGGTGCCTGTTCTTTCATCTTGTGGCATTTTTTAATCCACTGTGATTAAGCCATTTAGATAATATAGCGCAACTCCCACACATATCATAATTTATTATCATTTTTACCAGCCAGCCTGTTTGACATTTTGACTTGAATGTCTGACAGGCATTTCAAACTATACCTGTTCCAAACTGAGCTACTTGTATTTCTTCTTGTAAACTAGCTCCTTTTATTGTCTTTTGCATCTCAGATAATGGCAGTTCTATCCTTCCAGGTGCTCAGATCTCAACACTTAACATCATTTTGATTCCTCTTTCTTTCTTTTATCCCACACTTGGTCTGTTTAGAAATCCTGTTGGCTTTACCTTAAAATATATGTTCAGAAATCTACTACTACTCATCACCCACACTGCCACCACCTTATTTCAAGTCTCCATCTCTCCTCTAGTTTATTGCAGTGACCATACCCATGTCCCCAGTCTGTTCTCAGCAGAGCAGCCAGAGCGAGCCTGTTCAAACATAATCAGATTATGTCACTCCTTTTCACAGAATCATTCAGTGGCCCTGATCTCATTCAGAATAAAATCAAAGTCCTAACTAGGTCCCGTAAAGTCCTACATAGACTGGTACCCACTCACTTCTTTGCCATCATCGCCTGGCACACTCCTACTTGCATTGTATTTCAGCCTCTGGCCTTTTCATTAATTAATTAGTTAATTAATTAATTTAACATCCATGTGAGAGAGACACATCAACTGGCTGCCATCCACACGACCCCAACTGAGGCCGGGGACAAACTGCAACCGAGGTACGTGCCCTAGGGGGAACCGAACTGAGGCCTCTCTGGTCCACAGGCTAATGCTCTAACCCCTGAGCCAAACCGGCCAGGGCATTTTTATTATTCCTCAAACACTGCAGACTTGCTCCCTTCCTAGTCCTCTATTCTGTACTTGCTCCTCCCTCTGCCTGGAATACTCTTCCTTTTTAGGTCCTAAGGTAAATTACCTCATTTTACTCAGTCAACTCTGTAGTGAAGCCGCCTTAGGACACCCTATCTAAAATTTTAACTCCCTCTTCCATAACCGTTTATATATCCTCATTTTATTAACAAAATTTTACTTGTTTATTAAGTTGTTGTTCAGCTCCCCGATCAGAATATAACTACCACAAAGGCAGGGTTTTTGTCTGTTTTGTTTACTACTATATTCCTTGGTGCCAGAAACAATACCTGTCTATAGAATAGGTATTTAATAAATATTTGGATGGATGGATGGATGGATCTATGGTAGGAATAGATTGTTTATTTTTATTATTATTCAGTGTCTTAATCTGAAAAAATATTGGATTAATTCTATAGAATCAGATTTATATGACATAAACATGCTTGAGGATATAAAATTGAAAGTCAGCACAATCTGAAACAAAAATTTAGATGTTGCTGTACATGCTACGGATTGTTTTCTGGGAGTAAGCAGGCAAGGAGAACAGCTGCACAGAAGTTGACATACTGCTGTTAATCAACAAATTTGAGAATATAACAGAACTGTACAGTGAAAGTAAACTTGATCTTTTATCTTACATGGAAGACCAACTCAAAAACCTTCAAATATGACTGGCCCTATGAAATTAAATACTCCCAATCATGTATAAATGGTTACAACCATTGCTTTCCTTTAGGAAGTTCCCAGTAAAATTAGGGACACTAGTCCATATCAATATCAGTAGGAACATTTTTTAAGAAGCTTTCTATGAAACTGCAAAGTTTGCCACAGTTGTCTCTTGTCAGTTTCTTAAATTCTTCCAGTTTCCAATGTTATATTTGTTATTTATTGGTGATAACAAATCATCCTAAAATTAACTGATATAAAATGACAAGCATTTATTATCTTACAATTTCTGTAGGTCAGGAATCCAAGAACAGCTTTGCTAGTTGTCTCTGGCTCAAAATCTCTATAGGGTTGCAGTCAAGCGAGTGGGGAGGGGGCCTGCTGCAGTCTTATCTGAGAGCTTGACTGAATGGGGAGGGGAGAGGGGAATGGTCAAGGTGGGAAATTCACTTTAAAGCACTTAGTGATTGTTAACAGACTTCAGCCCCTTTGAGTCATGGGCTTTGCTACAAGGCTGTCTCACTACCTGGCAACTGGCTTTTCCATGGTGATCTACTTACGGGAGATTGCAAAGAAGATGGCAGCCATAGTCTTTTTACAATCTAATCTCAGAAGTGACATTCCTTCGCTTCTGCCATATTCTTTCACTAGAAATTATTTCAGCAAACGTCAAAGAGAGATTATACACCAAGAAGTGGGGATCACTGGGCCATTTTAGAGATTGCCTACCACAAATACTTAATCTCTTCCCACATGCTTGTTAGTCGTTCTCACATGGTAATAAACACTTGAGCACAATTAGTTCATTGTCACTAAAGCTGTTTTTTTTTCCAAGTTTATCCTGTGAAACAAATCAGTTTATGGAAAATGCTCTTAAATGGGCAACTACAGACAAATGAGTAGAGTGAATAACTTTATTCATTTATTTTTGAGCAAATGCCTTTAAAAGGCATTAGAAAATAATTTCAAGCATTGTGAAATAACCCTTACTTCAGGGAACTAACAGGGCCAGGACTTTTTCCTAGGAGACAACAGAAGCCCAAAGCAAACAACTGCTATTTTTTTTTTATTTTGGTCATAGCCAGTTAAGACTCCCTTATTCCCTTCAAATAAGGCAAAACAATATAATTGGTGGAATTTTTTTGTTTTTGTTGTTACTTAGTTTTGATATGTTACCATGCTTGGTATTTGAAATGAAGGAGAGCTAAGGACTTTGTTTCTACCAAGGGAGACCATAACAGTTGTCTATCGGTGACATTTAGTGTAATGTTGTATGTTTAAATAGTTACTAAATGTTGGCAATCTTTTTTCGGTTTCTTTTAGTTGATTGCAAGTTATTCATTTAAGAATTGGGCCATCTAACTTTCTAAAGACTAGTAGCTCCAGATGATACACTTGATATTTAGTAGGTCCTAAGGAAATCTTGTCTGACTTAATAAAATGTATACTTAATAAAATACTTAATAAAATGTATCATTCTAATCAATATTCCTCCTTGTTTTTTGCCATTTGAGAAAATAATTGTTCTACTTTGTTGATGTCTTTGCACAATGCTTGGAATATAATATGCACTCCATAAATGTTCCTTTCTTTTAACAGACTGAATGTCCATGTAGTGTTAAGTGCTTCCATGGCATGCAGAACTAATACTTCCTAGTGCATGGGTGTTATATATTTTTAAGCCATTTAAATTTAAGAATGAATAAGTTTTGGCTGTACCTTACATTTCTAAATAATTTTTACTTCTTCTAACCTATATCTTACATTATAATTGAGAGCAATTTTTGACTTGAGTTATTTTCAGAACAAAATACTTGGGTGATTTCATTTTTCTCTTTCTACCTTCATTTTCCAGAAAAAACAAATATTGGATAATGCCTAAGCCAAGATCTTTTTATGGGTGGAAAAGGAAATTCCTTGTGAATGGTGATGATTAGGATTGATATGCATGTGCTTTCTACTTATAAACTAATGCTATTTTCCTTGTCCTTTTGTTTCACTGCTGCTTCAATCCTGACGCATTGTGCTTCTTCCTTGTTCGGATTGTATTTGTTCGCTGCTCAATTACCCTGCATTAAAAGCTTCTTGGTGATAGCAAAGATGTCCTTGGGCCATCAAGTAAGTAGCTAAAGTTTGATTGGCATGTTTGGAGACATGATAATATTTTGATGTGTACTTATAAAAGTCATATGGTATTTTTGTTTTGATTATTAAGTATTCCACTTTTCTTTCCAGGCATTGAAGTACAAAGTAAAGAATATAAATAGTCATTTAGTGCCCATCTGTTGTCAGCATCCATCTGAGATTGATAGTATTTGTATATTTACACCTGGATCATCTAAAGATAGATTATTTACTTAATCAACTACCTAGTTAATAATTTAAGATCTTTTCATAGTATTTCTGTCTGCAGTCATCACAAAGCATAAGTCAGACTAGTTTGAGGCTGAACATGGTATAAAAAATTCATGCATATGACAATGAGAAATACTGTTTTATTTTGTCAGAATTTTTACATAATAGATAATTTGGTTATGAAAATGTTTTATTTATACTTTGGGATTTTATAAGTGAAACATGTTTCATCTTAGGAATTTAGAAGATGTTCCCTTTACATTTATGTCTAAAATAATTTTTTTTTTTTACTAGACACTGTGCTAGCTTTGGGGGATATGCAATAAATAAATCATATGCCCTACCCTTAAGGATCATTGTAGTCTAGCAAGGATTTTAGATTCGTGAATAGATAATTTCAGAGCATCGTGACGGGGCAACTTTTTTATTAAAAGTCATAGAATTACTGCCCTGCCCATGTGGCTCAGTTGGTTGGAGCATCGTCCCATGCACCAAACAGGCTGCGGCTTCTATACCTGGTTAGGGCACATTCCTAGGTTTCCGAATCGATCCCCTGTCGGTGCGTGTATAGGAGGCAACTGATCGATGTTTCTCACATCACATCAATGTTTCTCTCTCTCTCTCTCTCCCCCTTTCCTTTCTCTCTAAATATCAATACAACATATACTCTGGTGAGGATTAAAAAAAAAATCATAGAATTGCTGAAGTGGGAGGAAATTCAGATGTCATTAAAAAAACATTAATTTTGTAGTTGGAGACCCTGAAGCTAAGAACTGAAATATCCAAGAAGTTAGAATTGGTTACTTGCCCAGTGTATCTTCTACTGGTTTTCAATAATTAAAATATTACTGCATTGTGAATCAGACAAATATTTTTAACTTTATTGAAGAGCAATGTGGAAATTATATTGATTTAAGAAATTTTAGTATTAACTAGTAAACAGATATCTGACTTGCAAATCTGTTCACTGCTTTGGGATTCGTTTTTTGTTGTTGTTCTATTGGCAAAAGGAGGGGACTGAACAAGATCATGGCAATATTTCTTCCAGTTGTAAAATTCTTTGGTCTAAGACAGTTGCTATTTGTCTCTAATACTGCTTATAATATGTATGTATGTATTTTTTTTTTTAATCCTCACCCGAGGACATTTTTGCATTTATCTCCAGACAAAGCGGGAGGGAGAGAGGAAGGAAGAGAGAGAAACATCAATGTGAGAGAGACACATCGACTGGCTGCCACCCACACAACTCCAACTGGGGCCGGGGACAACCTGCAGCCGAAGTATGCGCCCTTAGCGGGAACCGAACCCGGGTCTCTGTAGACCGCAGGTCAACGCTCTAACTGCTGAGCCAAACTGGCCAGGGCTGTATTTTTTTTCTTAAAAGAGAAATGATTTAAGGTAATTATGCTAAAATTCCCTTTTTGACTGCAATAATTCATAGTATTTTAAATATATTGTTTATTATACAACCAGCATTATTAGAATCGTAGAAATTTTGAAATAAAGTACACGAATACAAAAACATTTTTATGTTTTCTTATTCAGCCTTACTTGTGATACCTGGCAGATATTTTCAGTGTATTTTTCAGTTACTCTAATTACTTCATACATTCAGATGTTGGCTCAGATGAACTGATTGGCACTGCTGAATTTGACAAATAGAATTTAATTTTTTTTTTTTTTTTTTTTTTATCCTCACCCGAGGACATTCTTCCATTTTTTGTTCAGGTAGAGTGGGAGGGAGAGAGAGGAACAGAGAGAGAGAGAGAAACATCGACGTGAAAGGAACACATCGAGTGGCTGCCACCCGCACAACCGACCAGGGCCGGGGACAAACTGCAACCGAGGTACGTGCCCTTAGTGGGAACCGAACCCGGGTCTCTCAGGACCGCAGGCCGACGCTCTAACCGCTGAGCCAAACTGGCCAGGGCATAGAATTTAATTTTTAATATCAATCGAAATGGTTCTATTTTAGGAACTGAGTTTTACAAGTGGCGGTCTTTAATTTTTACTTGGAATACAAGAAATTTATTGTGGTTATATATTTTAAACATATAAAAATAAAAATGAACAGTATATATTAGGGCTGAGTTTATATTGTACTCTGCCAATTGCTAAAAGGGGACTGTATAATTATTTCCTGAAAACCATTTCTTTTAGAGTGAAAAGTAATTTCATGTAGTACTTTATTAGGATCTGTACTATTGAATGAAAAAGCTAAATTGTTATATATTCCAACATATTTAAATTCTTTAAGTATTTGAGAAAATGTATACCATCATTAGGGGGAGTCATGGAATTTATATAAAGATCATTTATGACTTTAAAATAATTACTTAACTTCATCTTAGCTTTCAGTTTGAAACATAAAATTCTTCAGATTGTATATTGATGAGTTGAATTCAGAGGGTAAAGAATGGTAGTTACAGAGGCATATTTCCTTAAAAGTTGCAGCTGGTATGTTAATTATGTTACTGTTAATTATTCCATTGTCATTAATTTCTACTGTAAAGATAGTAAAGCAATATGAATAGCAAAGTAGGTTACTTTACTTCCACTTTACAAAGTACAACCAGGAGAGGGCACTGTAATACTATCTTTAGTAGGTGAGGTAATTGCAGTGTGGGACACTACACTGAATTCATGCAGTGATTCACTTGTCAAAGATTTATTCAGTCATTTAACAAGTATTTATTGTCACTTTTATGGCAAGGGATGCAAATAAAAACAAAGTCACCACCCTTCTTGAGCTTATAGTTAACTAGTCTACAATTGTGCAAATGATGCAGGATTTTTATGTTGTGCAAATCCTTTTTTTGTTTGTAGAGTTTTTTTTTTTTTTTTTTTATTCTCACCCAAGGACATTTTCCCGTTTTTTGTTCAGAGGAAGAGGGAGAGGGAGGAGGGAGGAGGGACGTGTGAAAGGGACACATCGAGGAGGGAAGAGGGAGGAGGGAGGAGGGAGAGGGAGAGGGAGGGGGATGTGTGAAAGGGACACATCGAGTGGCTGCCACCCGCACGACCATCCAGGGTCGGGGACAAACTGCAACTGAGGCACGTGCCCTTAGCGGGAACCAAACCCGGGTCTCTCTGGACCGCAGGCTGACACTCTAACTGCTGAGCCAAACTGGCCAGGGCTGTAGAGTTGTTAATGTTTGTGAATGGGGTGAGAAAAAAAATAGAAAAATAGGCATTCTGTTTTTTTCTAAAGACATATACTTTGTATATTGCTATTTCTATAAACCTCACTTCAGAGTTATCAGTTATAAACAGTAATACCTCAATCAGTAAGAAGTTAGAAAGGGGTGAATGGAACTAAATTTCCACTTTTTTAGACCATTGCCTTTTTTATACAGTAAAGCTATTCAAGACATAGATACCGATGTCTTACTGATACTAATTACTAAAGCATACTTTAATTCTATTAGTTGTTCTTCTCATAATGTATTTTAAATTACTCTTAAATTTACTGCCTGGTACTTCAAAAAATGTAGCATATGTAAATTATATAGCATAATTATACAGTCAGTACATTTGAAACTTCCACTTAAGAACTTGAATCTTAAAAATATATATATATATTTTTTTTAGTCCTCATCCGAGGACATTTTTCCATTTTTGGTACAGACAGAGTGGGAGGGAAAGAGAGAAAGAGAGAGAGGGAAACATCGACGTGAAAGGGACACATCGAGTGGCTGCCACCCGCACGACCAACCAGGGCCGGGGACAAACCGCAACCGAGGCACATGCCCTTAGCCGGAACCGAACCCGGGCCTCTCCGGACCGCATGCGGATACTCTAACTGCTGAGCCAAACTGGCCAGGGCTTAAAAATATTTAATGTCCATCTATGTGCTTCTCTCTTCTTCCCCTCTGCTTGTACCCCAGAGGTGATGACTATTTTGTATTTTTTATTATTCTTTTCTCTTTTTTTAAATAAGCTTTTTTTTGTTATTTTTACATTACGTATATATCACTAAGGTCTGCTTGGTTTTTTATTTTATAAGAACGGTAGCATGACAATATGTCATCTTTTTAGGGCTTATTTATTTATTTATTTTTATCCTCACCCGAGGATATTTTCCCATTTTTTGTACAGATAGAGTGGGAGGGAGAGAGAGAGAGAAACATGACGTGAAGGGACACATCGACTGCCACCCGCACGACCAACCAGGGCCGGGGACAAACTGCAACCGAAGTACGTGCCCTTAGCGGGAACCGAACCCGGGTCTCTCCGGTCCGCAGGCCGATGCTCTAACCGCTGAGCCAAACTGGCCAGGGCTAGGGCTTATTTTTTTGTAGTTAATATTTTTTTTCCAAGATTCATCCATGTTATTGAGTATAGTTATAGATCACTCCTTTTTCAGTGCTACATACTATTTCACTATATACATATACCACAACACATACATTCATTTTATTTTTAGTTGATGAATATTTAAGTTGTTTTGCCTGGCCGGTTTGGCTCAGCGGTTGGAGCGTTGGCCTGCGGACCAGAGTCCCGGGTTCAGTTCCCGCTAAGGGCATGTACCAAATAAATAAATAAATAATAATTTAAAAAAATATTTAAGTTGTTTTGATTTTTTTCTACTATGAACAGTGTTGCTATCAACTTTCTTATTCTTTTTTGGTACACACATATAAGACTATTTCTAGTTATAAAGCTAAGAGTGGAATTGTTGAACCCATAGTGTATACTGAAATCAGTTTAATAAGACAGGTCTAAGTAGTTTTCCAAACTGCTTATATCAGTTTATACTCCAC